CCACAATGTCATTCCTGCTTTGCCAATATTAGGCTTAGGTGGACGTCGGCTGGTATAGAAATACCGTTTTTCTCGATCACCTTTTGATCCAGGGAACGTCGTGTTCTCAAACTTTTGCATTCTATTCCACCTGCTAGCTTTACATTCTCACCAAGTTTGTGCTTCCTGCGATGCGTAGTTTGTTTATCCGGACCGAAAAACACGGTTCTTTTTAATCGAAAACACCCTGTATATACTTACTTTTTTTGTCGTCACTAGCAGCTTAAGAAACATGGAGCGTGGCGAGCCCTTATCACCTTATCGCTCCGTGGCAAATGAGATAACGGCGTCAATCTATACACGAACACAGCTCCGTTGCGTCACGGCGCGGTGGTGGCACGTTGGGCGCACTTCCGGTCTGGGGCTGTGGGCGGAAGTCACCGTGCGGGACGTGCATTCCTGCGTTGTTTTGGAATAAACCAAACAGAAACCTGCCTTCTCGCCAAAACGCCGTGACTTGGACTGTACCAAAAGAGTCGAGAAAGGTTAAAAGGTGAGTATTTATGTGCTCGGTTCGTCCGAGGACGTGGATCTGTGCTGTGAAAGGGGAAATCCAGACACCGTCGGACCACGATTGTTTGTTCGGGAAGAACTTTGGGTTGAATTCACGGATACGTGTGGTCGTCATATTTATTTCTTTTGGTCCGACATGAACACGGGAAAAGTGCCAAGTTGCACGACCCCCCTGCGGACTAAGTTCAGTGCATCTTGAGGTTCAAACGGCCGCCTGATCGTTCAAACTGTCGTCTGCTCTTTCAAGCTTTTCTGCCTGTCGTCGTCTGCTCGTTCTAACGACAGCGGCCCGTAGACCAAACTTTGATCCAGTTATTGCGAAAAGAAGTAAGTGCAGGCCTTAAAACAGTTTTAAGTTTGAAGGTTAGCTGTGGTAAGTAGGCTCGGTGTAAAATGTAAATACAAGGAGATGTTGATCATTGTTTTTAGTGGCCATCACCAACTTGTTGTGCCCGATTTACTTAGTACAATTCTGTTTGCGATTTTCAGTACCGACGTCGACCATCTCAGCTACGGTTCACACTTTTGCAGCCCGAGCGACGTCGAGACTGAAAATAGCAAGCAGAATCTTATCGTGCGAATCAGGCTTTAGCGTCCATTCTGCGACGTTCACGCGAAATGAATCGCCGCATGTCACACTATTCAAGGCTGAGGCTGCTAAAGTAGTCAGGCAGTGCAAGGAAGACCTAGAATCAACAATTCCGACGCGAAAAAGAGCACGGCGACTGACACCGACACCGAAAAAATCGCATTCCAATGGTTTGTTTATGGGCGACGGCGAGCTTCTTGCCCACACCCCCATCGCGCATGCGCGGCGCCGGTGGCGTCGCTAGGGGTGATCCGGTTTGTTTATAAGCATGAGTTGGTCTATACAGCAACTCAACTCTCTCAGAATAAGCAACGCAGTGACGCTGATGTCGTCACCGCGCATGCGCTCACGCCTCACTTCACGGGAGTCTGGTTTCGGCGCAGCCGCATTGCCCGCACCTGGTGTTGTGCAAACGCTGACTCGTTTGTGAACAGTGTGTTGGTTCATAATCTACAAGGACGCTGAAAATCGAATGCTGGAGCAAGAAACGTTGCTAACATTAAGTCACACCCGATGCTTCTTAGGCTCTCAGAGTCTATACACCTATGTCTGCTCCGTTCCACGGGCGCCGCCATGTTTGTTTACGCTGACGCCATGCTACAGTTCGGAGGCTGTGCTTTTTTGCAAGACTGTTTAAAAAAAGAAAAAAAGCATTTGCGCACAAAGTGTAGTGCAAGAAGGTCAGAAATGCATAGTCACGAAGTTCCAAGAACAGTACCGATGCCAAGAGTGTTGTAAGAAGCAAAAAATCAGGCTTTATGCGCAGTCCCTCTCTTCGCAAAGATCCTGCGTTTGAGATTATCACTTCCCATTTTTGGTTTCCTATCAATGGGGGCTAGGATTTCTAACACTGGTCTTTACTAGTACTTCCCTCGTGTTTCTAGATGAAATGTATTTCTCACCCCACGCCCGATATGCCTTACTTTTAACGAAAATCCAAACTGTACTCCTTTTCACTCTGATTCTGACCGCAACCGGCACTACGTCGTGACGAAACCAATCGAGCCGAATTAAACGGTGCATCGCCATGATGTCCGTCGTCCTTGTGTGTTTGTTATATCAACGGCTAAACCAATCGCGAACAGCAAAATGCGACGTGATTCTCTGCGTTTTCTTTTTTTTTTTTTTTGCGCGTGATTAGTTTAGCAGGTGGTAGCAAACGCCGAAAAGACGATGTGCACCATGACGACGCGCTTTTGGCGCGGTTTGATTGACACCGTCGGTTCCTACAGGTGACTTTGGTCGGTCTTGGAGCGAAACGAAGTTTGCCGAGCGCAAGTTTGTCTGCTTCTTTTTGCAGGCGTTTCGGTGACGTCAGAACAACGAGCTCTGATTGCCTCTGATAGAAGGATAGTGGGTAGACCTCGAGGCAGCTTGCTTTGAGGTCTACCCACTATCCATTCAATCTAAAAGCAAATCAGAACTCGGCGTTCTGACGCCACCACAATTCCTGCAAAAGAAGCAGACGAACTTGCTCTCCGAACAGCCAACTGGTTATGGGCCTCAACTGGTCCTTTGGTTACTCGTATACGCCTAATGCTCGTAAAACAAATTTAACAGGATTGAACCGGAATGCTGGCGATCTATTGGTTCGGCAAGAACGCAAAGCGTCCGCCGTCCTGTCAGATTAGGAGTGAAAAACAAATGTAGATCCCTCTGTTTCGCGACGGGGAACGTCGTGATTGGCTGCAATGTCTCGGTGACTAGAAATCAAAATGTTTGTGTCCATATTCCGGATGTTGGAGAAGCAGTACTACACGACTGTTGATTTACCGTGCATGTATAAGTCGCGATTAGTGAAACATCGGCCGTCTCTTGCGTTTTTGGGGTTTCTAATCTCATAAAGAGAATGGAGGAAGAAGGCTGGACTGCCAGGATTCCCTTTCGGCCGAGAAGACTAGCGCACCACAAATCGGAGCGCATGTAGAGAAAACCTTGCACTGCAAGAGCGTGTGATGCTGGATTCATTTCCTACTCCTGCCCGTTTCGATCCGGATGAGCGTCGTACCGGCGTGTAGTCGTGTATCACTACTGCCTGGTGCACGTTAAAGACCCCAGGCTAGCGGTTGTACTGCACTGGTCGAATTGCTTTTATATAGCACGTCCTTCGAAGGAGGCGCATTGAAATTTCATACTCCAAACATTCTACAGACACTTTTCATTTTGGAAAACAACACTAGACCCAACGATGTCTTGTAACAGCGTTTCTTGAAATCACCAAAGCGTTATTTTTCGTTATCTTTTTTTTTTTTCAACTTTCCAAATATAGATGGTTTTTAAGTCAGCTGACTGACTTTTTAAATATTTGTTAAAAACAAAATTTCAAGAACTCGATAACTTTTCTGTAGGAAAGACGTGATTTTAGGTGTTTTTTTTTTTCAAGAAAAACAGTTCGTATATTTAATATAATTTATTGGCAGATCAGTTGTTTGCTATTCGTCCTTTAAGGATGCATTCGAAGGCGCCAGCCACCCACCCTTTTAGAAATAAACCTCGACGCATATGGTTCATTTGAGTAAAATAATAACTTTAAGTAACTGACATCTGTACCCTGGAGAGTGTGGATACAGGACAGGACAACACGAATCTCAAATCTCCACATTGTTGATTCCTGCTGTCCTGTCCTTCTGCTTCCGCGCTCTGCAAGGTTAAAAATGTCAGTTATTAGCATGCTGGCCTGCATCCTTACATTTATTTTATTTAGGTAACTTTTTGTTTATCAAAATTTGTGCGACGACTTTAGAGAAAAAAAAAATCAATCAATATAAAGCACATATTTAGGACCTTCTTTAAGTTTACAGCTCGTTGCGAAGTTCTCCAAGTATACGGTATAAGTCGATGAAATGCCCTTCGTAAAGTGTCCGGGCCCTTTCCCATTGCTTTGGTTTCGTAACCGACCAAAAGCAAAGTATATTGCCCGGCTATCCTATTTTCACGAAGCCTTCCACAGTTCATCCGAGTTTCGTCTATTTAATATTCTCCCGTCTACTCGCGTTCTTCCTCATTATAATCACCCTTACAAAGTTGACATTCCTTTAGCAAAAACGTATTCAAATATTTCCACGCTGCTACACATTACAAATGATGTGAGTTGGCAAGCGAAATCGTTGAGACGAGAAACCATGACACCTCGCATGTCGCTGCTACGAAACTCTTTACAATGACGCACAATATGCAGCACGCGTTTTTCTTTTTCCTTGTTAGGCAGCTGAAGAAATGTTGACGCGCGCAGGGCCGAGCAAGCAACGCTCAAACACGAGCTTCTTGAAAACTCGCGTTTATTGTTACTCGGGATGTAACTTTTATCATATCGTCTTGCTTCCTTGTTCTCGAAAGTGCCTGTTCATTCTCACCCCGAAAGCGCGACGCTCGAGCCTTCTGGGCCGAATATTCGAGATGGTGACGCACGCTAGATAAGGAGCTGCGCGGGACCTCGTCGAGTTAGTCTCGCTCTCGCTTGCTGTTACGCCGCCAAATCGCCGCCCGCTTTTCTGCTGTCTCGACGCTGTTCTTTATTTTCTTTGGCGGAAGTTCGTTCATCAAACTTTCAGTTTGAAACAGGATTTTTTACTTCTGCTCTTGTCATTCCTGGTAATATATTGTTTAGCCTGACTTGTTTTGTTGTTTTTAATATTTGTATCTGTATGCATTTAAGACTTTCTTATCTTCTACCTTCTATTTTAGTTCTGTTTAGCGTAACCCCGAGTGCGTAAATGTTTTGTTTGTTTTTTGCAAACTGTTACTTAAGATGCCCCCGCCCCCCCCCCCCCCCCCCCCGGCTCTATGTGACGCTTGTTTGGGTCCTTTCGATGTATTTAAGTAAATCAATAAATAAACAAGAGACGAGAGAGACTGGGAATCAGCTTTGTTCCAACGTTTATTAGAAACTTATTAAAATGTAACAAGATGTGGATAGACAGTGCACACTGTGCGGCTGCTTGGCTGAGACGGCGAGACGTGTAATACATTTTCTTTTTTTGCACGCCGTCCCGCCTTCTAGCCAGAGTACAAAAGATAAAAGGAGCCTGCTTTTGTATCTTCTTTTTTTTTTCTTTGGAATTGTAGGACGTGGATATCACTGACGCTTCGCAGGTCGCTAGGGTACCCAACATCGAACATCTGCGTAGAGTTCCGACAACTCGTTCAGTCCGCCATTTTGGTGTCGCAGCCCAAATCTCTTCTTGTTTGGAGGGGACGCACCCACGTACAAAGAGAGGATAGCGTCCATTAAACAAATGAGGGGTACATAACTGTTTCCCTCCGTGACTATCAATTTGTCCATTTAGTGTCGGAAAGGGAGCTACAGAAGCGATACAGATAAGTGTTGTGGCACTCGATGCAGACGTAACTGTTCCCGGACAAAAATTTGATATCGTATAATTTTTCGAAGTACCTACACTATTAATTTTTGTCGAATATTGCGCAGTTATATCCATTGGGCTTTTTCATCAACGACATGCTAAGTATTTACCCTATGAGGCATCTCAGTGTTGCGAGACGAAAAATACGTTACAGCCTAATAGCGCTGCCAATGCATAGGGGTCGCGTAGGACATATTGCGGTCAGGTGCCGAAATGGCGGATTGTCGAAGTCGTTAGAGCCCTATACAAGACCGACTGGAGCCCTGCTAGCAGACCCCTTTCCCGTTGCGCCATCTATCGCGCACCGAGTCAAGCTCTAGGCCGTTTAACTTCCTCCCACTGAGTCGCGTCCAAGCATGCGCGTCCCGCTCACCGTACGAGTAAGAAAATAGAGTACCAAGGGCCCGCTAAACAGCAATCAACACACGTGGAGAAGCGCTTATCGCAGCGCGCGGACGTGATTCAAAGTGTTAGCTTCGAAACGACGCCATCGGGTCAATACTGGCCACTCCACGCGGCCGGGCCTCCGGCTAAATTGGGGTGGGGGAGGAATAATGGAGTGAAGCGGTCGGGAGGAGCGCGATCCTTATTGCGCCGCACAAAATAGTTCCCTTCTCTGTCACTTTCGTTCACAATTTTTTTTTTCTCGTCGACTACGGTAACGGCAGCGGGCTGTGATCTGACTCACTAACCGTACTGGCCACCGCGGCGAAGAAACAACAACAACAACGCCTGTGTCCTCTTTGTACTGACGCGCGTCTGCTCAAAAAAAAAAAATTGCGACCAACCAATGAGACGTTAATGACGACGACAAACGACGACGACAAAGTGTTCTTTTTTTTTTCTTCTTTGGATAGAGTTGAACCACCTCATACTCAGTCGGCGGACAATATCAATCGAACTCGCCCTGCGCGCGCGCACGCGCGCGCGGCGGTTTGTATTATCAAACACACACGATACACACCTCGGTAGAAAAAATGTACGGAAAAAACGACGGGGTTTTTAGAAAAAGGGGGCGCTGCGAGCGCTTGTTTTGTGTATGTTGTTGCCAACGTTTGCAACCTGCCTACTATTTTTTTTTTTTAACGAACCAGACTTATATTTATATATGTATATAATATAGACATCTGTAATCGTTGAGATGGAATCGGCCTTGTCGGCTTTTTTTTTTTTTTTCAGTTGGCCAGCAGCAAGTGCTGTTGCAACGCGGCGCCGAGTTCCGACGCCGAGTTCGGTGCCGAGTGGCCCGGCAGCGATCCTGTCGGCAAGAACGCGGCCGCCGGAAAACGAGACGTCGGGCAACCGTGGTGACCGCTGCCATTTTCCCCGAACACGTCGAGCCCTGGCACGAAGAGATCATGCGCCGCAACGGCCGCCGCCGCCGGTCGCCCGTGGTCGCGCCTTAGGCCTAATTCGGTCGGCGAGAGCCGCTGTGCCCGCTTCGAGCTCGTCTTGAGCTTAGTCGAGCCGAATTTCGTCTGCGCGAAGCTGGCCGTGGTAAAGGTAAGCGCTCGCGACGCCGCTGCCGCGGCGGACGCCGGGGCCGCCACGGGGGGCTGGGGCGGCGCTACGGGCGGCAGTAGTGCGGGCCCCAGCCCCAAGCCGGCGAGTTGGGCTGCGAGGGTTTCATCGATGCCGGGGCTGTTAGTGAGGGTTCGGGGCTCGGCACTCGGGGTCGGACCCCCGAGGAGTATTTGGGCGACCCCTTTTTCGCCCAGGCGGTAGGAGACTTCGCCCGGGTCGATCCAGATGCTCAGGTCTGGGGGGAGGTTCTCGCGGACGTCACGGATGTCGAGACCGCTTTCCCTGGCGGCGACCTGGAAGACGGGGTCTAGCGGGGGCGACGTCTTGACGCAGCGGAACGCCGAGCCGCGGTAGGGCTTGTCAGGGTACCTGGAAACAAGATGAACGCAGGCGAGTCAGGTACCGCGGTCGTTTGTCTCTGACCTTCAGGTTGGCTAAACACAGCTCACACCTATAGACGCTTAAACACGCGCCAGATTGAGCCGCCATTGCCAACCTTCTCTTGTCTTACCGAGATGTCAAGCCACTGAAGCGGTGACGAGCCTCCACAAAATTCTGTGCTGGGGAGAAAGACACAGCAGCACCTAGATTGGCAATAACCCGTCCTGCTCTGTCAATGATGAAGTGAAGCGAACGAAACCCAAGAAAACAAAAACAAAAACTTCAATGTTTACAAAATCGCAGTCCAGCGTGTGATCTTCAAAGCCCAGTACGTCCAAGTTTGTCGCTTCGGAAAACGAGCAAAGCACGCACCATACTCACGAACACTCCAAATGACACCGGCCACAATCTCTTTTTTCGGAAAGGTCTATACGGCGAGCAAGTTTGCCTGCTTCCAGTGCAGTGGGTACAGTGACGTCACAGTGGCGAGCTCTGGTTAGAAGAATAGTGATAAACGCAAAAGGTTATCTGCCTTGGTCTCTACCCTATCCATTCCTCCAATCAAATTATTCAAGATCGTCGTCTGGTCCTCGCGCAGAGAAAGCAGAGGCGTCAACGTCAGGCGTTTGGGCGCCGAACACTAGCATCGTCTACTAGTCCTATCAATGGCTCTTGTTCCTTTTCGACGTGTTTCGGAAACCTACCGGTTCTCTACGGCCTTCGAGAAAGTATGGAGGATATACATCGAAGGATACGTTGTTTTTTGTCGATGAACAGCTGCCAGGCGCGCTCCAATTAATGAGAAAGTCGCGGCCCCGGCCCTTCTAAACTCTACCACGGAAGAACAAAGAACAGCTGCGGGGACGGAGCTTCGCTGCGTTCGTCGCAGACCTGATCCCTTCCTCTCCTCACCGCGCCTCCTCTCTTATTGAGCTCTCTCACTGGCTCACCCACGTGCGAAAAATGAACTTGCTCGCCGTACCGTCCATTTTCGTTTACCCTCACCCCCAGCCACGTAGCTCACACATTCGGTACGGGAGAAGGAAAGAAAGACATTTTAGGATATTACAACCTGGAACTAGGAAAAAAAAAGGAGGGAAGGTGTAAAACAACATTGAGTTACAGTCGCTATTAAGAAAGAAAACAAAAAAAAAACATAAACATCTTCCGGTGCCGTGAGGAGGGCAAAACAACGTTGTCCCGCCCACCGGAAGCTCTGCGATTCAAGATGGCGTCGTCCGCGTAGAGAAGGTCAATGGAAGACCCTCAGGTGATGCCAGGGTCCGTAAACGGGTACGACCGTTCAAGGCATCCAATACTTTCTATTATTTTACATCAGTGCTGCGGTTTGTCTGACAGTATCCCGCAAAAGCGTAAGAAAAAAAAAATACCGGAAACGGGTCTTAGGCGGCGTTGCCTGTCTGCGATTCTAATTATCGGGCTATTTTGATTAAAGCGCGCTCGTCGTAGAACGACAACTCGAGCAATTTTCGCGATGGATTGTTCTCTGATTTCCTGAATTGTTTCCGCTCTTAACAGCCTGGCGGAACATATTGTTTATGTAAATGTACTCAAGCTCAAAAACATCACGGCTGAAAAACCATTTGCGTAAAAAGCGGCTTCAATCAACCTATACGACTAAATGAAAAGAGACGACGAAAGGCAGGCAAGCACCCAAGAACCACGATTACTGTCTCGCTCAATTAAATATTCTGAATGAAACTTGAACAATTATGCTGATTAACATGGCAACCGCAGGCATGATTGATTACTTCCCTGAATGTATATACTGCTTGTACATTACGGGAAAATAAAACGTCCGAGCACTCTGTTTATGTGAAGCTTATACACCTTTGTCACGCTTCACTAGTTATCTTCACTCTCACTGATGTCACGAGCTGAAATGTCTCTATTTCTTGCTCCAGTTTCTTAATTTTCGTGCATTATATTGCAATACTCAAACTCACACGATTTCTTAATTAAATACTCGTCGCACTTTATATCTTTCGACTCCATATTTTCTCAATAAGGGCGGATCGCTCCCTTTTCATTAGAAGGCAGGCGTTCTTATTTCATTAATCGTTTACCGAACTGAAGAAGATACTCGATCATTCAATCTCCTCACGGCATGACCAGCCGGTTGGTATTGTATTTTTATGATTGGTGCATCAAATTTAAATATCAACTCCTTCTTCACATTGTTATTTGCATACGTCATTTTGGTTTAGGAACAATGTTTCTTCTAGCATTCTAATGATATTAATTATTCATAATGCATTAACTTTAACAGTAAACACGCTTTCTGCATTATGGGTCATCTCTAACGCTCCCTAAACATGATTCTTTCTCAATAATCATAAACCTAGACATAACACTATGTGTCACTCATTTCACCCCTTACAGGTTATTTCACCGTCCTCGTTAAGCCATATGTATTCTTATGCATAATTCGGAGAAAACCGCCCTGTTCCTAAGATACACATCTATAAAGACCTTGCATTGTGCGAAGGATCTTATACATAAATGCATGCAAGCCCAACACTGCATCAGATTTTTTCTAATTATGACCAGTCCTTGTTTTAATGCTCTCATATCTTATGAAGATCTCATATGACACATAGTTATTAACGTCCTTCTGATACAATACAAACTTTTCTCTTCATAGAAGAAAAAAACAACTTTCACTTAATGTCGTATTGTCGTATATAAAAACAATAGGCCACTCTCATATTCAAAACGTAGAAGACACTTCCTGGCGCGCGCAAAAAGTTCTACGAACGCCAGCACATTTCTCCTTCCCACGAGCGTTCCGTTTTTACCCAATCATATATCATTTTACTCCACAGGTTTATTCAGTGGTTACGGAACTCACATCAAGTATGCATGCATGGCTTTCTCACACTAGTTAATGTGCAGAATAATTAGAGGAATCCAAGCATAACTTTCTATCCTAAGCTTCACGACCATTTCTTATTTTTAATTAATAATTACTTTTGCATACGTGATTGTTGCATCACTTTTTACGTGGCACAAGCCGTTTTTGTGCAGTGTGTGTAATCACGTTGGCATTTAAGGCTAAACGAAAAAGATGTTTCTCTATTCCGCCAGTTACCAGTAATCTTCAACTTGATTATGTATTGCATACGTTGTTCTTTCAAGTACCACATTTGTGTTTCAAACACATAATTATCCTATGCTTGTCAAACTTTCAAGAATAACCCCGCGCCTTTTTCATGTTTCTAAAGCGATTGCCACCTTGTCCAATTGGTCGACCCGCCAAATAAATATTTAAGAATGGCTGAGAGCTTTAGCCAACGTTACTAGAACAACTCAGTTGTGAAACTGCCATAGAGCCTGCTTTGAAAAAGTGGCTCCGATCCGTACTCCAGAACCGAACTAATGGCGATCGCAACACCGCCATTTCTCCCGCAGCGGCCACTTTGAAAACTGCACAGCTGCGCGTATTGGTTCAGGTAGAGCCACGTAAGGCCGGTGGCGCCATCTCGCAGTAGCTATATCAATCAATATTCAGGTTTTGACTCGTCGCTAAATGGGGCGCTGTTATCGTATTTAGTTTGACCTCGGTAGACGTGAGTAGTCCGGGTTTCAAGGGTGAGTTCCCCAACTGAGTGTTTTAGTAAGGTTGGCTCTAGCCTTTAAGGAAGTATTTCAGTTGTTCTACAGCCCTGATGCGACTTGAGCGTGAAACACATGTGAGCAAAAACCGCGTCGCATCCCACCGTCTCATGGCGTAACTCTAGAAACAACCAATGACAGCAACAGTTGCCATGATGGAAGGCGTGTGCGCTACAGTCTGAACTACGGGCCCAGCACGAAGAACGGGAGGAGCAGAAGCAGGTGGTGCGAGAAAGCGCGCGGAGCGGAGAGTGGTAGAAAGGCAAGAAAGAGAGGAGCAGAAACAGGTAGTGTAAAAAGAGCGCGCGGAACGAGGAATGGAAAGGGAAGGAAAGCACGCTTTCCCTCTCTTAGCGACCCAAAATATTCTACGCAAAGGCTCTGTATCCTGGTAATGCTTAACTGGAGCGCGTACAGCGTCATGGAGAGACAATGGTGTGAAGTAATCTTTTTTCATACAAAACCCTGCCCTAGGAACCGCCTGAACAAAGGGCACCACCCTCACCAGGCACTGAAAAAAGAAGGGTCATCCTGCCCAAGGCACCACCCGAGCTAAGTGCACCACATACCCTATAAGGCTACCGCATTTAGACGCGCTTGCCAGAATGACCCGACATGCAGCCAATTTCATGCTCACGCTTCTTGTTTCCTGATTCCTGCCTCGGCGTTCTTACTAACTATTGCTGCGTACTCATTGGCCGCCGAGCGTGCTTACCGACTATCGCTGCATTGACATTGGCCGCCGAACGACAATAAGCGGCCTGGGACACAACATGCCTCACATTTCTTAACTTGTTAGTGGTTTTAAGGTGTCACAATAAGTGGTGCGGATGCGTACCAGTGTCCCCTGAACTTGCGGCGCAGCGCCCGGTCCAGTTCCTCGGCGAACTGGTTGACCCGCCTTCTGGGCAGTTTGTTGTATAGAAAGGACACGAGGAAGTTGAGCGCCACCTGAATTTCCACTTGCATTCTGCTGGGAGACTCCGAGCTGCACGCACCCACCGCTGCTGCCCCAGAGAAAGGGAACACAAAAGGATCTTGGTAAGTCGGCAACCACAGTTTTTTGTTTACCATGTGGGGGAGGAGGTGGGGGAAGGGGTATTTACGAGACAACATATTGTCGGGCCTTGTATGCAGCGCGTACTCAGAGCTAGCTCTCATGTATCGTCTGCCAAGAACAATGATTCTAATTGAGTAGAATGCACGTTGGATACGCATGATCGTGCGTTCCTACCAATCAAGCTATTTGTTTTTGGCAGAAGATAAATAGGAGCTGGTTTTCAGCAAGCATTGCCAACAGCACCCAACAATATGGCCTCCAGCGCATGCCCCCTATACCGATCAGATAATAAGAACAAACAAAATTATGAACTTAAAGCTTCACGGTCTTACAACTGCTAAATGAGGCAAACACGGAAAATCGCTTCAACAATTCAAAATAACGAAGAAATTTGACAAGGGCGAAGTGGAACAAACCTACTCATTTGATTTGAAACAGCGTACAATTTTGAATATTACCTCTCAACCCCTTCATAATGTGTTTAATTTTAAGATGTGTGGGCACGATATTCAATTTGTTATTGCAATTTTTGGCGTAAATATTGACTTTACAAACGCTTTACACTCGAGTAACAAATTACCCTAGCGAAAATTCTTATATCTATAAGAAATTTGTTGGTCAAATAAATGCATATGTTCAGATAACATCGAATAAGAGCATATAAACATCTTATAAGAACATATAAGAACAATATAGGAATATATGAGAAGTTATAAGAAATTTCTTATAACTTCTTATATACACTTGTTTGGTTCTTATATGATCTTATTTGGCCATATCCGGGTATTGAACCAAGATATTTCTCATACAGATAAGATTTTTCAATAGGGTAGCGGTAGAGATGTAATAGCAACTCAAAAATATTTACCACAATTTTTTTTCTACTTGTGAATGTCATTTTTGCTTCATTCTACCGAAACCAGACTCGCAAGAAAAAAATGTGCAATCATAAGCATGATCTTATATGGCTTTTGAAAAAAACATGAATGAATTACAACGATTGAGGACAATGCGTCCTCAACCTTGGGTTTACAAAATGTTGATTTTCATGTTCATTTTACTAAACGTTCGCTTAAGCCATGGGTATTACGGTTATAACCCCAATTCTGAGCATTGGTATAATATTTCAATTGTCTACAATGTTTCCCCCGCCCCCCCCCCCCCCCCCCTTAGCATTTCAATCCAACTGACAACGAAACTGCAGAGAAGCCTGAGTCTGTAAAAAAAGCAATACATATACCTTCACCCTGCTCAAAATGTCACGGTGATTTTTAATGTGTCGATATCATTTTGACAAAACAATTTCGTATTGCATATTGATATAATACACTTTCTTAAGAATATCACCATATAAATATTACGTAACATTTTTATTCACCGACATCACAATTGAAAGCATTATACGATCTCTACTTAACCTTCACCAAAATTAAAATCACAGAAAAAAAAATCCGACATATGTTTGCCCCATTTTATGATGTCGATACATAATTTTTCGAATCTAAAAGCGTGATTTTACTTTCAGTATTGTGTAACTGCAACCAACATACTTACCTTCAACCTTATGATTTTCAGCATACTTCTTTTATCACTATGTGCTCGTGACATCTTTACGCAAACAGCGCATTACATTATGAACATATCTATCAATCACAATCAAAACAATTTTTTTTAAATATAAAGCACACTTTTCAACATTTTGAGGTTAACTTAATATATTCAAAAAGATTTCCTTCACTAAGCTCCAAGATTTAGGTGACAATCAATGAGACGAATGAGCAGATTTCAAAATAGGGGTTTGTGAAGCTCCGTTGGAATTCCGCCACGTCACGAGTTCCTAAAAAGCAGCGCCAGTTCGCAGAAGCATCGTTCGCTCGTGGAGTTACTTAAACCTTAATGTGACTTGTTGGAGAACGCTCACGCGTTTGTTACGTTGTATATCTTAAAGCTTCCACAGTGATTCCGCAACGTGCATTTGACACCATAAAGATCGCCGTCCTTTGCAGACATTAGGTAGGAGCCTGATCTGAGGATGCGGGGACCCCTGCCAGGCAAACCATACTGCCTCCCCCCCCCCCCCCCCCTCCCCCGGATGCGCTGTGAATACGCGTCCAAATACGGCACCCAGCGAACGCCTTTACTCTAAAAAATGGCTGTAAGTCTACTTTCCCGCACAACACTCGGAGAGCCAATCACCTTAACTTACGGAGGCAGCTCAGCGAATGACGATGCGGAAACATATGTTTGCACCAAAAAACTCAGTCTGAATTGCGACATTAAGCAATGCAAAACGTCACGCTTGCATTGCTTAATGTCACAACTCAGACTGCGTTTTTTGGTCTAAACATAAGTTTCGGCATCGTCATTCGCTGAGCTGCCTCCGTAAGTTAAGGTGATTGGCTCTCCGAGTGGTGTGCGTGAAAGTAGACGCACAGACTTTTTTAGAGTGTATAAACATAGCTTGCAGGTGTCGCCATTGCTGGGTACTGACGGTTATTTCTACTCACTGGTTCCCTCGAGCTGCTACTTCTGCTGTGTGGAAATAACACGGTGAACCAAACGCTTGTGGCACATAAAATACAGGTATGGCCGAGACTGACTTTACGGGCAAGCTATGTAGAAGCCATATGGCATACAGTCCTGGGATATTGCTGCTAGGCGATATTGTCACGCGTTGACGCCACCAAGCGGCAACGCTCGCAACTACAATGCCCTTGGCCGTGCAGGAACTCTTGACGTCACAAGCGCGATGCGCATTGCACTTCTCGCTGGCCGACTTTGAAGCGAGAGACAGAGAGCTCGTGGTCACGTCATTTCGTTTCCGTACCCATTTAATAATAATACAAATGGGCGAGGATATGTAGGCCGTCTGTTTCCATGTGATGATTGAAGATGTATGAAAGACAGTGCATAGACGAAGTGGACAGCATTTCAAATTCTTATCGACTGCTGATTGTTGTTTTTACATCATAAAAATATAATCTGTATTACATGAGATGTCATCTGGTTTTTTTTTTTTAAACAACGGACTCGAGGAAAATTTTTTAGAGGGAAAATGACACAACTAAGAAATTAGCACATCTACCCTGGTTTTCATTTATTATCCAACGTCCTTGCTTTTTCTTTTTCTTTTTTTTTTTTTGCGGCATTTATGAACACGAAAATGTACTTATGTAGATTGCCACGTTAAAAAAGAACAATAGTCTGTACAAGATACTAGCATAGTATCATGTCTCACTAACTGATTGCGAAAGGGATTAGAAGCTTTCGTGACGCCAGGACACAGGAAGTCCCATGTATGACAGGACGTTGGATGCCTCCCCCTCATACCAAACACTCTCTCCCACACACTCGATTTAGTTTCGTCGCATTAGCCGTCTCCGCGACGTGAGGTTAAGTGCCGTAAAGACTAGTAAACAAAACATTTCCAACATACCAACGCGAAAAATAAGATAACTACACTGTAAACAACCCTGACCTATATTATCACAACTAATACATTTCTTTTTGTGTTATTGAACTATGCATTTTGTGCCATCTTGTTACTTGTAGATATCCATGTCGCATGATGCATATAATGCTGAATGTAGCTTAGTCATTCATGAATTAGACCCATTCACTATTCGTTGATATAGAGGCATTGACTTTCAGCCGTCAACTGAAGCAATGTTTATCTTATGACCCTGGCAGTGACATATTAAATTGTATGTAGAAAGCAGGTAAATTATTAAATATATAATACACAAATAAAGGCATGCTCAAGGTCTGAGCCCGTATTAGCATCTTTCTAAAGAAGCTGTTTTGTGCTTTAGATGTTTATGTTGCTTGTCTCTTATTAAAGTGAAATAGACTGTCATGAGATTTTGCTCTCCACTGTGTAATAAAAGTCACAACAGAATGCATATTTGCTCCTCGTGTTACATTGCTTCTGCAATTTTGCATAAAATAAAGTAACGTTTCAGATTCTTATACCAAACTGTGACTAAAAAGAAGCCTGTCTGCTGATCAATATCATACTATTTATTAGTGTCTCGAAAATACAAAAGGACAAAATGTTGTCTAAATTATAAGTTTGATGATTCTTAAATCAAGTGTAGAAAACAATCTCAATTCAGTTAACTTATAATGTTCCTAAAGAAAATAACTATTATCCTGTCTAGTTGCCACGCGATTCAAATCCCACTAAGTCAGCTTTCATGCGGATGTAGTCACAACGTAATAATTAAACGCCTTGCTACTGTTTCGAAAAAAGAGGAAAAAGTAAATATTAAACAAGCGCGACAAAGTGACAACCATCGATCACACTAATGACGATGATGATGATGACGACGACGACGTGTGGGGAGCCACAAGTTTACAAACATGGCTGACAAAAACACGCGACCCAAGGTTGAAAACAAATCGCATTCAGCGCGCCACCTCCTTACAGTACAAACCTCGCATCTTAGTGTTCCAAAAGAATGCACTCCGGCAGGGACAGTGTGCCAAAGAACAGCTGTCCCCCCTTGCCACGAAGTCCTGCGCGCTCTTCGCAAAGGGCTGGGCCCGACGCCAAAGCAACTCTGGAGTCCTAGCCCCGAGTCTGGGTGACCTCCAAGCGACCTTGTTCTAGAGCCGTTCTCCATCGATTTGTCCCAGTTTTCCCGGGTCCACAGCGGGCGGACCAAAACTCCGCCTCCTCACTCTTTTTTCTTTTTTTGCTGTTTGCAACGGCCTTACTCTCCTCCCTCCCCCTCCGTCCTGAAAGCAATATACGCTCACTCGCTCGCTACACTCCCCATCCAATTCGTTCTCTGTGGTTGGATGGCTGCAACACTGTTTTGTTTCGTCGGGTATGAGAGCTTCTGCATCAACTATGCTCCTTTCGAGCGCTCCGCTTGGTCGTCTGCTTCGGGAATTCGTCTGCTACACTCGTACGGCGTCTGCTTTGGAAATTCGTCTGCTATTCTAATACCGCTCGCGAATCGAATCTGCTAGGTCAAAAAAAAAAACAGATCTAAAATTATTAGACAGCTGCTCTTAACTATGATGGCAATCCCTGACATTTTAGTCGTCGGGCGGAACGACATCGCAGGCCACGGCTTTTTATGTCGCGAAAGACCAACTCTGTGTTCCTTCGAAGAACGCAAACAAACACAGGGACGCGGGGTGTTTCGGGATCGGAGATCTGATTCCGATAGGACGTCGTGCGGATTGCGACCTTCGCGTCCGTGACAGCCGAAGCCAGGGCAGCAGGTGTTAGCGGGCTGTCGTTGCAAACGAACCCTGGGCACGACATCGGACACCGCTGCTCGGCTCGACGCGTGATATTTATAGCGACCCAGATGGGTGGGCGACAGCGGGCTCGCGCCGCGGCCGCACGCTACGTGGCAGCCGTTAGCGGACACGATGTTCCCGGCAACCGACGCAAGCCAAGAGCCGAGCGATGAACAGAGTGTTCGTGGTAGAAACAACAAACAGGACTCACCGGGATGCATCGAAATAGCAGACCACCGGTCCTGCGCTCTCCTCTTTCACCACTGGGAGGCGCCACGGAATGCGGCAGCGCCGTAGAAAAGTATAAAAACACAAAACGACGGGTTTACAAATAAAAAAAGAGTGATGACAGGGGTGCTGGTAGTGTTTGATGTTTGTTGTTGGCAGCTTCGGGCGCCAGCTAGCGTGCAGCTAGCGTGCGAGCCAGCGAGCCCAGCGCAGCCGCAGCGTGGCGGTACCTTTTTTATATAGGGCCGCACCACGACCGTCTTCCTCCGCGCGCGCGCGCTCGCGCGAGCAGCGGAGAAAATAGTGCGCTTGTTTACCAGCAGCGGCTCCTCCGCTCGCTTGTTTTGGAATTGAAGAGTTCTGGGGGCACTCGCGTTGGCAACTGCTGCTGCGGCGGTGTTGGGACAGCTGTTGCGAAGCTGGGGCTCTTCGTCAGCTGGCCTCATCTGCATGGACTGCTGCGCTTCGCCGTGGCCGTCGGCGGTTGTTCATTGTGGATCGAGCGTGCGAGCTGGCGCGCCGCTCGGCTCCGCTGCTAATATTCGATGGGTGGGCGATGCCGAAATAATGACTGACATCCGTCCGCCCCAGTGCCTTAAATGCCAAGTGCCGCGACAGCGTCCGCCATGAGACAACTGACAGCTCGTTCTTGTTGCGGCCCTCATCGTCAAAGCATTCCTTGCACTTTTATCCGAATCGCTTTTAAACTCAAAACTTCAAAACACCTGTAACGAGACAAAATACATCAAATCGACATCATAAAAAAAAAAGCGGGAGATCCAGCCTACGCTTTGTCGCTTAGAAACTTCACTAAGTTTCTTAGCGACGAAATGGTGACATTCCTTGATAAAGTCTCTTGATGAAGCCAAGCCAAACTATCTAGCTTGACTTCATAAAATACTTTACTCAATTCCTTAGTCAAGTCTCTTAGTGTTGTCAAGACAAGCCAGAACCTCTGTCTTGGCCTGACGAAGAGGCTTCACTATGTCTTCTAGTCAAGCTTCTCTGAGATAAGACACGCAAAAATCTCTGACTTGATGTGATTAAGAGACTTGGCAAAGTTTGTTAGTCGAAGCACTTAGCTTCTCTTAGTCAAGACAAGCCAGGATTTCTGGTTTGGTCTGACTGGAGACTTGAATAAGTCTCCTAGTCAAGCCTCTTACGGTCTCTTAGTCAAGACAGGCCTAATCCCTGGTTTTATCTAATTGAGAGACTTGACCACCAAGTCTCTCGGGCAGGTCAAGTCAGAGATTCGAATAACGTAATTCACTGTGGCTTTAGCGCAATGCTTTTATGCCCTAACGGAAGAGGCTAGTAACTTGAATTGATTGTTGGTTATTTGCAAATTAAACCAAGTGTTTTGAAAATACATAGCCCAAAAGTTAATATATATTTTTCACACGCAGAACTGATAACTGTTTGTGGTACTCGACCGGACAGGACTAGTTCTGTCGTTTACGCAAGACCGATACTCTTCAAATCCAGCTTGGCGGACATCGATCACGAGTTTGAAACGTGTGTCTACGTGCCCCGGATCACAGGGCAGCTTCGTCGATTCAAGGACGACATTGGAGGCTATGGCAACATCGAAATGGGGAGTTGCGGGTGCGGCCAACGCTACCTATCGCAGCGAAGACATTGCCAGTAAGAAAGAACCGAGGAACACAACAACGGTCGTCCACATAAGTAAGAAAAGAACAAAAGAAGAAAGACGCAGAGAAGGAAATAAAGTTAGAAAGAATGGAGGGATCCGCTATTTTCTGCACTTCCCCTCCACACGCTGCGCTCGGGCCAGCAGCGGTTCCCTCTCTCCACCGGTCGATGCGGCGGTCACGTGACCCAACGCACCCGCGTCACGATGGACGTCACCGGTGACGTCATACCCGTTGGCCGCTTTCCACTCTTTTTCTTTTCCTACTATCGACCTCACGCCACGCGAACGAACAGACGAACGCACATGCGTTGGTCGCGTCCACCCACGCGATGGGGAGAGACAACTTGGTAAAACGTTTCCTACCAGTACCAGCCATCCCGACTTCCTTTACTTATTAAGTTTTTTTTTTTTTTTGCACAATAATTCAAGCATTCGGAAGGGCGGGGCGAGGTGTGTTTGAGCTTTTTAGTTTGATATCAAAGGCTCTAAAAGACAAGAAGTTCCGTAACTAAAGTTGCTTTTAATTTCGAACTCATTTATGAACATGTCGAGAACCTAGTATATGCTCCGGCTCCCGGCTTTGACTGCGCATGTTACGAAATTTTATGAAAGCCAAACAGTTCGCGCTCTGGTTTATAGCGTGTCACAAACTGAAGAAAATTTAATCCGCACTGGAACGCAGAGAGCGAACTCCCCTCGCCCTATCTTCCCTCAAAGTGTACGCGAAACCAATCACCGGAATCTCAGATGCGAGTTGACCTCACGATACATATTGAATCAATGATTGTGGAGAAAATCGTATCCGCACTCGAACGCAGAGCACTCATTTTTCCGCGCCCCATGGCGAAAACAACCGAACGCCATTTTCGCGCAAATCGTGCGCAATGCTAACCGCTATAGATGCTCCGATGCGAGTAGAGCAAATGACGCAAATTGGGTCAGGATTTGCACGGAACGCGTCATCTGTAACGGAACGCAGAGATACAATTTCCAGGCATCATATTCCCGCATAGCATACGCAAAGCCAAGATCTGGAGGCTCAAATGCGAGTAGAGCAAAATGACGCAAATTCAACCAGGATTAAAATGTCGCCTGAACAACAGAACGCAGAGCTAAATTTCCAGACGCTATCTTTCTGGAAAGTATACTCAAAGCCAATCACTGGAAGCTCGGACGCAATTCGAACGAATGACGCCAAATCAGCCAGGGTTTAAAATGTGACCTGCACTCAGTGTTGGCGGTTGCGCGTTACCCGAAAAGCGTTATTTTTTTCTGTAATGTAGTCACGTATTCGTTACATTTTCAAAACAGTAACGGGTATTGTACTTACGTTACTTGTTTCGAGTGGCGGTAACATAGGTACGTTACTCGTTACACCTTCCCAAGACCCCAAAAAAGTAAACTTACATTTTTTTCCCTTATTTCTATACTTCGTTTTACCTAAACTCCAGACGACGCCGACGCTACGAGCTGATGGTATCAATGAGACAGCGTCAAGAGGGCACCATCATGGCGTCCGTCATGTTTTTGTACGTGTTTTATCGTCGCTGGACCAATCAGGGACAAAAAAGGCCCAGTCACATGCTCTTTTAACGCTGTTTGGTTGGCCCTATTAGCTCCTACCATTGGCTGCGTCTGGACTTGAGTTGAAACTAATATGTGCCATTTGTCTGCGTCACCCACGCTTCACCGCACTGTCTCGCTTTTAATAATATCGAGGCCCCGAGTCATTAATTATTGCACTTATTCCGCGTGCCTTCAAAATTGTGCCTGTCTATTCAAAACGCAAGAAGTCCCAATTTAGAAAAAAAGATCCAACGTTCACGCGCTTCAGCCAATGCCCACAAACGCTGTTACCGTCAATTATTGAATAAAAAAGTAACGCAAAAGTAACGTCCGTTACTTTTTAGCGGTAACGGTATCGATAACACTTTTCTTTCATTTTGACGCAGCGCAGGAAGGTGACGCAGGGACTCGTTTCTTTATTTTGCAAGCAACGAATAAGGTAGGTATTTCGTTACTTTTCTTCGGTAACGCCTACAACACTGCCTGCACTGGACTACAGAGCTAAAATTCACGGGCGCCATATTTCTGCAAAGCATACGCAGAGCCAGGCATTAGAATCTCAGTTGCGAGTCGAGCAAGCGACGCAATTTCAACGCGATTTATCTAGAAAATGAGACCTGCACTAAAACGCAGATCACAAATTCTGTCGCGTCTTATTCTCCGCAATGCAATGCACGCGGAGAATCGCTCATCACAAGCCCAGGGGGAATCAGGGTTTGTCTAAAAAAGGTGATCGGCGCTGAAACGCGAAGCACAAATACCTTCGCGTCTTCTTTAGAGGAGAACCAATCACCACGGGCCGATGGAATCAGACAGATTACAGAGATTAAACCAGGATTCGTCAGTTAAAAGTGACATGCTCTAGCTAGAACGCGGAGGATGAGTGTTGGCCTGTCTTGTTTACTACAGAATGCGTAGAGGCTCAGTCGCCACGGGTTTTCAAGCGAGTCGAGTTGGTCGAGCCACAGCCGGACTGAAAGAGCGCGCTCTCTTTCTCTTCTTAACGGCCTTTGCAATTGGGGCAATCGCCTCCTCCCGCCGCAATTCGCGGGGGGCGCTGTCACCTCACCCCTAGGCTACCGTTTGCCGTTTGCACAGAGCGCGTCTTACAGTGTATCTCACCGCAACTTGCGGCCGAGATTTTGATAGCCTTTGACACCTGATCCTTACGTTTAGACCCTCGGCCACTATCTAATGCGCTTTTGATGAGCCCAAACCGGTGAATATTTCACGCACATCCCCGAGATATTCGGGAGTAAAAAGTAGTACTAGGTAGAGACTGCGCATGCAATGGCGGAAAAATTATACTCTTCATTACCTCCAGGACTTGCAACTCAAAGACAGGAGGAGATGGACCCCTTCTACGTGGAGGGACTTTAAATGATAAATAATTCATACACTCTCGTGAATTGTAAGCAGGCCCAATTTATCTATCGCCGTGGTCTGCAGCATCATTTCATAGGCCGCACATGAAGTCAGTCAGCTGCTCTAGACGAGGGTGTAGTAGTCTGTACAGTTTTCGCACAGTGCATATTGCAGCCTAAAGTGCTTCCTCGAGGGCTTGTGTACATATCCAGCTGATTTTTCGTTTCTGTCCGTGACCGTCTTTGCATAGTTAATCAGAAGTATTCGGAGGAACTTGTTGCAAATTAAACCAGCCAAGCGCTTTGAGTGACTGTTGTCAATGCCCTCTGGGCAACTTAGGATTGGCGCGTCTTCAAGATAGGGTGCAATGAGTAGTTGCAGAACTTCGTGCACATTTGTACGCGAAAGGTGCTAAACAGCCTTTAAAAAAAAAATTAAAAAAAAACAACAACAATGTTGTTTAGAAGTGCGAGGAACCTAGGATTTAGATAATGAAGTCCGCTTTTATCCTGACCTTGCAATAAGACGAAGAGAGGATCACCTCTGTTACTCGTAGTGAACAGCATAACAAAGGCGTCGCACCCGAGCTCACTAATGAGTTCAATAAACCGTTGCCAAAACAACAACCTA